CCAGTTGATCAAAAACGTGAATAATGTTTAATCACACATAATTTTGAAAAGAAACACGCCGAATTAAATAAAAATAAGTTATTTGTTCAGTTTATTTTGGTAAATATTCGAAGGTGCGGATGTTTACTGAAGATTATTCCCATGGTAAGTAGGCATCGATCAAAGAACTACTGAAAGCCAAAAAATATAGTGAACAACTATTTCAAGGTTTATTCCGTAAGAAAATTAATAGAGAGATCTCAAACGATAAGTGGTCATTATTATTTGTACTAATTTCTGAGTTGATCTCTCAATATATTGTTCATCATTTAATGTACAAAATAATTCTTCAAAAACTTAACACAACTTATTTCAATCAACTTTCTCATTAATTAACTATCTGAAGTAGAATGAACTATTAATATTCATTGATGAACAAATTAATAAGAATCAACAGTGGTGAATACACATATATCATTAAGAATAACAATAATAGTAGCTTTTATAATACCACAAATGTTTTAAGAAATTCACGGCACCAGTCGAACAATCTTTCATAACGTTCATAGTTCACATGATTCACACAGTTATTATTGAAAAAATATATTTTACAAATGTTTTTAATAGCCACTCATTTACAATGACGGGAGTTTTATTATCCCAGTCCAGCTAATACACCATATTTAGGGAGAATAGGATTCCCACGTGTTTGTTGATTTTCTTTGTAGAATAGATAAAAATGAAAATATTCCGTGTTAATTCTCGATTATTTAACAAACTTTTGTGTTAAGTTATAAAACAAAAAAAAACTATGTGAGATAAATGTTACTGATTTTTTAACCAGCTTAAAGTTTTCAAAGAAAAAATCATAATAAAACTTTAACAACAGTCGTACTTGGTAGGTTAGTTTACGTCATTAAATCGAAGCATTTACTAAGCTTCAATAGACATTTTTTCCAGTTATTATATAATCAAAATAAAATGATTTCGTTATTTCAGATATCTCAAACGTAATCTATAAACAACTACACAAGCAATAAGTTATTGAATGAACTGAATTCAATATAAAGCTCAAAGATCAACCATTTCTCTCTCATACTGGTTGAAACAAACCAGAAAGACTTATCATATTCATGTTATTGAACCATGTTTAATAAAAGCACGTGAATTGGTAGATTTTTTTTCGAACGAAACTAGATCAGCAAAACTATCTTTCGTGCAGTGAAAAAATCGTTTTCAGCTGGTAAATGACTATCGGAGTATATATATAATCTTGAGAAGGATTTGAGTTGTAAACGATTTTATTTCCAATATTAACAGTGAATCGTGTGACTTATTGTATATATCTGTACCACTGGAGAGCATGTTCAATAAACTGTCAAAAAAGTTAAAAATGTGTATACAAATTTCAATTGATTGTGTTTAGAAATACAAGTAATTTGATTTTCCCCAATAAAAAAAAAGAATTTTGTTAAAGATGAACATCTCTCTAAGATAAATACTGTTAACGATTAACGTTTATAAATTTAAACAAATCTATTACATTACATATGCCTTTAGGAAAAATTGAATTAAAAAAATACACATAATTTCAGCCATATCCATTGTGAAACACTTTTGTAAGTATTTTAAAAACAGTGTGATGTTTTATATCAATTTTCGTCAATATTAGAACCAATAGTTTAGTTGTCGAGTGATATAGAAGACATAATTTGTGTAAAATTATGTCTGAAATTATGCCAGCTAATGAAATTGTAAATGATATCGATTTTGATTATTACCCTGAAGTCTAAACAGATTTGTTGGACAAAACTTTGAACCTATTTTAATTCAGTCGATACGATTATTTCACATATAATTTTACACTAATAAGGTATGGTGTTTTGTAAATTTCTTTTAAAGCACTTAGAATTTTTAGATTGTAAAAGTTTCATATCTAATGATGATAAAGTAAGATGTTTGTGAAGATAACTAGTTTCATAAAAATATACTTTATTGACATATTCAGTTTGTACGACACAAACTGATGAATTTTTGCCCAATGAAAATATTTCAGAATTCTTGTTCACCTCGGTGATTCTCTTTTTGTTAAACATCGAGTCCCACGAGTGCTAATCATTCGTAACAATCAACTTTTGTTGATTTTGGCATAAGTAATGAGAACAAATACAACAGACTATCTTATACAATATCACTTTGAAGTTTTCCTTAAGTTAACTTCATTTTTAAAATATAAAGGTATAATCGTTCATTACATTTTGCGTGTCTAAGCATATAATTCCAATACTCAAGTCGTGTGTTTTTTGTAGAGTCTGTATTAAGTAACCATTTTAATGTTAAATTATAGTGGTTAAACCCGGGAATACATCATTTGTTTCTCTCTATAATGAACTATTCTTAATCTAAAAACTTTTGCATTTCTATTTTTCGCTTGTTTTTTCGTTTCTAGTTTAACAAACAGTTTAATTTTTAATGTAAGTGTTCAGCAATAATCTTATAAATTCAGTGAAACAAACGTTGTTCCAATCCACTGTTATGCTTCACTACTGACAACATTTGTATGATTTAAAGTGAATGACATTACTTCTGAATAACAGAATGTGTATAAGTAAAATACTTTGAAAACGAATTTGACTGAGAAGTTAAATCAATAGCAATTTCCACGTGAACAGAATGAAACATGTTTATGATCTGAAAACTGAATAATCATACCGTTGCTGCTCTAGTTTATATGGTCCAAACCCGTCTGTGGGAGTGATTAAACCTTTACTACTTACTAATATTCTCTATTTCCAAATGAAGTTTTGTGCTATAAATCTATCTTATTGAGTTGTTCGGTTTCAGGGGTGCTTATGAAGACAATTATAGAGCCTAGTAAATATTTGTGTTTTAGTTGACACAAATGTGATTGATTAGACTCGAGAGATCACCCTGTAAGTAAAATACCAAGAGCATAGGTTGTTGACGTAGCAAATAATTGGATTTAATGTGTTATTTTGAATTTACATTTAGAAAAATCAATTCCCCAGAAGCGACTAACTTTTTATCATGGTGATTTCATTGTCGTTCTGTATATCGTCAGCGATTATTCCACTTGAAAGCTCAGAGTGTGATGTATGCTTCTTAAGTGGACAGAAATAAGCAGTATGTAGCAGGGATTGAAAGTGTAATGCTTAACAGCAGAATATTGAAATGAAGAGAAAAGGAAGGGGAACAGAGAGAAAATGAAATATCAGCATGATTAAAAGAATTATGGAGTATGTAAAGGACTATCTAAAGAAGATATGTAGATGATGTGTGCCATGTTCTTATGAATGAACAGATCAATGACGCATAAACCGTTCCGAGCAGTGCAAAGTCAATTCTGACTTTTCAATGGTCCACCGAGATACTAGCTTCTCGCTTAACCTAGGCAGTTTAGTCCGGAACACCAATATCAGCCTCTGTTATACAAATAATATATTCCCAACATATTCAGTTTATATACAAACAAACCAGACCGCATCATACCATAAAATAGAAAATAACAATTATACAAGATCAAACCGTAAAGTGGCCATGGTTTTGAGAGACTGATACTAATAAGTTGATAATATCTTAGGAATGATAAATCGTATAATAATAATCAATGGGTCAAATAAAGGCTCAAAATAAAAGGAATATGAATGTGCATATAGTATAGTTACTTAATGGTTATAGAACAAGAATATATTTAATAACGGTCCATAAATAATTACTAGCAGTTACTATCCATTTATCCTTGTCCGGACCTAACGATATGTTTAATGCATGATTTTCATACTTTATAAAGACACCTGAGTTTCCATTCACTACCAGACGACATAACCAAAAACATACATTTGAATTCCAGATCTTAGACACAATGTGTTTTGATTATGAATCCAAACAAATAAAAATATTTGATTTAAAGTGAGTAAACTGTACTTTAAAAGTCTCAGAACGGCAAATAACTGAATTTTTGCTCGTAACTTATATAACTCAATTTCATTTCCGTTATATTGTCCTTTAGATGTTTGAGTAAATAAAGTAGTTATTTCATATAGACATTTTGCGAACATTAAACATCTGTAGAAAATGAATTGCATTGTCGTTTAAAACAAATTATAAACTTGTCATTCAAAAACTTGTGTTGCAGCAAATTGTCAGCTTTTCACTGAAATTATCCATTGTTTTGATTAGTATTGACGACTGTAGAATAGATCTTACAACAACTGTCCATTGTCAAATGGAACAGTAACATTACCGTTGGTATATCGAAGTCTGAATTCACTGAATTTCTTGAAGTAAATTATCGTAATCTTATAATGTAAATTATTTTAATTATACTCATTCCGAAACTTGAGATTATTAAATTAAATGACACTTTGTGTTGTTA